AATCTTGGCCGTCCCCTGGGCCTTCTGCCGGTCGGATTCCCAAGAAATAGTTGCTTAGCCTTCCTTTGTGGAGGTTTTCGCAACACTTGGCCAAGCTATCGCAGCTGTGACTTCTGCAGAGGCAAAGGCTGTACACCAAAGCTCTTCCGGATATAAGTATTCCGGACCATGTCGAGACGCGTGAGAGTAGCGACTCATCTAAGAAAGTCCATTTCAGCAGCTTGTACCCGGGTTCGAAGTTTTTCAGTGATGGTCCACGATTCATGAAAGTAGGTAAGTATGGGGATAACGATCGACTTGAATACTGATAGCTTAGTTTTCAGGCTGAGCTCTGCTTTACTCGCAGTGGATCGGGCTAGTTCACGCAGAACGCCACTGGTTACTCCAATTTGCCGGTCGATTTCTTCCTCCAATTTTCCATCACTAGTAAATACAATTCTGAGGTACTTGAACTTCACCACCAGCTCCACTGCTTCTCCGTTAATCCTGGAGGGCAACGGGCAGGAAAGCGAGAAAGCACTAGGTTTTTCCCTTTAGATACGTTCACACGCATGCCGCTAAGGTAGCACTCAGCTGCAAACCTTTCAAGGGAGCACTAAAGATCAGTTTCAGAAAATGCTAATAAAGCAAGGTCGTCTGCAAACAGCAACCTTCTCGTCTTCACATCTCCTACACCGATACGTTAATCGCGTTGTCAGCTCCTGACTATTTTATCCATGTACAAAACAAACGGGATAGTGAACAAGACGCAGCCTTGGCCGAGACCAGTGCGAACGTTGAATGGTTTCGACTTACCGCCATTTACTCTTACGCAGCACCTGCTATCAAAATACAGTGACTGAATGGCCCTTAGCAGCTGGCCATCTCTCTCGTATGCTGAAGGCATGACCACAGGTTGTTGCGTGGGATCCGGTCATACGCTTTATCTAGGTCAGCAAAACATGTATACCGGACGGGCGTGCTACCACGATTTCTCAGCAGTCTGGCGCAGGGCAAATATATGGTCATAGATGCTTCGAATGCTTCGACCGAGCAGGAAGCTACGCTGCTCTTCTTGTATCTTGAAGTTAGTTATTTCACGGCACCTCTTTTCTAACACCTTTGCGTATACTTTACCTGGAAT